TGAGAATTACTAATATTTATATATTATATTATATTATTTATATTTATACCAATATTTATATATTATATATATATATATATCATCATATATTAATTATCTTTTTATATTTAATTTAATAGGTAAAAGATTCAAAAGGAGATATTCTTTCAAAAAAGGATGATATTCCTCATGGAAAAATATTGAAATTTTCATTTGTCACAGAAACTTATGATACATTTGAAATTTGTTTTATGGCACATTCCATACAACCATCTTTTTCAGGCAGTATGCACTATAAACAAAATTATATTTATTTAATAATTGGATAAAATTTTTATTAATTAAAAAATGTTTTTTAGATATTAAACAAATTAAACAAGAAATTTATTTAATCACAAAACGTGGAATCGAAGCAAAAAATTATGAAGGAGTAAGTTCTTTAAATTTGATTTAAATAAAAATGATTTTATTTATATATTTTAAATTTCAAATTATTAACAAATTTAATTTTTAAATAATTTTTATATTTTAAATTCATAATTTTTATCTATCAAATTTCAATTTTAATAAAATATTTATTGAATGTTAATAAAAATTGATAATTTCTAATCTTATTACAAAAATATTAAATTTTTTAAAATAATTTAGAATATAATATTAATAAAAACAAGTTATATTTATTTTTTTTCTTTTATTTTTTAATTTATTTTATAGATTATCAATATCTATTTTCTTAAATTGATTTCAAAGTAATCTCACAATATTTTATATTTTTTGTTTTATAAATATGTTATATTAATACAATTGGTAGTAAGAGTGGTTTTATTAATATGGTTTTATTAATAATTTAATAGTTTAAAAAATTATAAGAATAAAAAATTCACACATTTAAAAATTATTTTACATACATAAATAAAAGTTGCATATGTAATATTTATAATAAATATATTAACATGAAAGATGAATTTTTTGCAATTAATAACATAATTAATATATAATTTTCTATATATTAATATATAATTCTTTTATAATAAAATGATTTCAATTAATGATTTCAAGTTCTAAATTTTAAAATAATAATAATATTATCAACTACATATTTTTATTTAAGATTGGTGAAGCAGCAAAACTTAAACCTTCTGAAGTTGAATTGAAACGTCTTGAAGACTTATCTGAAGCTATTGTCCAAGATTTTGCTCGAATGCGAAAGAATGAGGAAGAAATGAGAGATACAAATGGTAATTGAAAATTATAAAAATTAAATAATAAATATGAAATATTTATATTTCATATTTATTTAATTTATATAAAAATAAATAAATTTTATTATTAAATAATTAATTGATTTTTGTTCAATTTTCAGAGGCAACAAATACTCGAGTATTGTATTTTAGTATATTCTCCATGTGTTGGCTTCTAGGGCTCTCAATTTGGCAAGTTCTTTACTTAAGGCGCTTTTTCAAAGCAAAAAAGCTTATTGAATAATTAGAAAAAGAAAATAATGAAAGTTATCAAAATTCTTACAATTTTACATCAAACTAAATTTTATTTATTCTTTTTTTTTTTATTTCTTTCGTAAATATAATAAAAAATTCAATATCATTAAAATTGTAGGAAAATTGATTGATTTAAATTTTGTATACTCAAATTAAAAAATAAATAAAATTATACTTATATGTAGTAATTAATTTACTAAATTTTTATTCCTTTAGCATATCATTAAGTTTACTAAATTTCTATTATTCTATTAATATTCTATTAATTATTTCCTTCTTAGGAAAAAAAAATCTTTTTAAAAAATAATTATAGGTTAATTTATTTAAATGTTATCAAAATATAAAAATTCATTCTATATTTTGTATATAAAATCATAAAAAATAATTTTTCATAATTTTCATTATCTGAATATAAAAAATAATAGTCTATCTTCTAATGTACTATTTCAAAATTTTATATGAAAAATCGAGTTCGATTTATTTCGATCTATTATGAACGAAAATGTCAGTTTAAACATAACCTATATAAAATTAGGCTTATTCTTTTGAAGAAGTTTCATCATATATATTTTAATATTTTATTGTATAATTATAAAGTGAAAAATGCAAGAAATATCTACAGTGAGAAATATAATTAACAATCGAAATCGTGATTGTTTAGGTTGTAGAATTTTCAGTGGTTGTGGTCTTATTGGTTCTGGTTTATATGTTGCGTATCATTCAAAAAAATTTCAGAAAAAGATTGGAAAAACCATTATGTATTCAATTGGAAGCGGTAATGTATTATTTTTTTTCTACTTTTATATATAAATTTATACTTTTTTAACGTAGATGTTTTTAAAATATTAATATTCTATTTTTTGTACACTATTAATAAATTTTAAAATATTTAAAATATTTTTAAAATATTATTATTAAAAATCATTTAATAATGAACTAGAAATAATATTATTTATTATATGTTTCTTTTAACTTTATTAATTTTTAACTTTATTATTTTAAATTTCATATAATAATTTAATAATAAATTGTTTTGAATATTTGAAATTTTAAGGTTAAAAGTTTGTGTGCGAAAATATACTTTTATAATTTATTAATATTAAACATAATTTTACTTTATTTAAATTTATTCATTTTTTTACAAAATTTTTACAGCTTTAATGCTCCTTGGTACTGCTCGAATTTTGGATCTTCCTCCATTTCGCAAACAATTTAACCAAGGATGATTATAAACAAATACTTATTCAATTTTCGTTTCTTATATAAATGTTTTAATATCTTTTTCTTATCTGTTTTGATATTTTTATTATAACTGCAAAATATAAATCTACAACTGTAGTTTAAACAATTTTAAATATTTATTAAATCCATATAGTTATTTTAAAAAAATTGCATTTATTTTCGTATTTTTATATAAAATATAATACATTTAATTTAATGTATTTATTTAATTATAAATTATTATGAATATATATTATTTATTTATAAATTAATAAAAGTTAATATAATGAATCAATGCAATTTCTATTATAAATAACATATAAACAATCAATTGATTTATTATTATTATAAATTAAAATTTTTATTCAGAATTTGATTATTTATTATTATTATATATTATTATAATTATTACAAATTGTTAAAATTTTATCGAAAATTTATATCAGAAACTATTTAACCAATCATGTTATTACTAAGAAAATTTTTGTACATAATTGTCAATATTACCTAATTTATATTATTGATTACAAGATATAGAAATTACTACATAAAAGAAATAAAATATATATAGAAATTATTCATTGAATTGAATTCTCTTATTATTTTAATAAAAAGCGTTGATATTTATTTAAAAACTAAAATCTTTTCTTTTTCAACATATATATCTTTTATATTCCATGTGTACATTATATATATGTCCTGTGTATACTTTATATATTCTTTAATATTTATTTACATTCTATTCTAATATAATTTTGGAAAATGCATCGATATCTATATACCAGTCATATTTATTGTTAGCTTGGTTTATTATTAATATTTACACATCAATAATCGGTGTTTGTTCACTGGCGACTGACGGCTTAGAAGGCTTGGTAATCCCATTGTCGCCAAATGACAAACAAAAACTGTCACTCTAATAAATATGTTGCATCCGATGGACTATTGTTACGGGCGATAAGGAATAAATATTCCTACAAGATGCATCAGACTTATTTGCACATTGACAAATATTGATAAATATTGTTTGGACTTAAAAAATAAATCTAAAGGATCAAAATTTCGAAACTTCAATACTATAGTAAATTTCGATAATAAAATAAATATATTGAAATATAATAACATATAATCATTTAATCTTCAATTAGTAAATACTAGAATTATTATTTAATTCCAATTAATAAACAATAATAAGGTTTTAAAATTATAAACGATCTTTTTTGTATAAAAACAAAAATTTTTTTATTTTTTAGTAATAAAATTTTTTTTGTTGAATATTATACATTTTATATCATATATCATTCGGTGGTATTTATATTTAAATATAATATATATATATAATAAGATATAATAATATATATAAATATATATATATATATTATAAAATATGGAAAATTATCTAAAAAAATTATAATTTGTACAATAGACTAGCTTTGAAATATTCAATTATTGATACTGCACATCCTGCATCAGAGAAAATAATAAATATAATACGTTAAATTATATCGTAATTATGAAAAAATTTGAGAAAAAATTAAAAAAAAACTTACATATTTCATATATGACAGAAAAATATCATAAATCATTGTCATAAAATTAGTATATAATACTCTATAACGAAGCGGTATGAAGAAAAAATTTACACATTGTGTTGGAGGCCAAAAACAGCAATCAATCTGAACATAAGTAGAATGAAAGGAAAACTATAATTACATATTTAAATATATTACTAGAAAGAGTAATAATAGTTCGAGAAAACTAAATATATACCTTCCACGTGTCGTATAATTTCACTTTCATCTCTTCATGAATCTCTTTCATATTGTGATGTTCTAAAAAGCCAAGACCAATAAAAAATATTCCTAGACAAATTGGGCTGGCAATAGTTTGATCTAGACAAGTTTTTTTAATAACGGATATAGCATTTTTTCCGGGCAATACCTTTTCTAAAATCATATAGAACCAGTGATGAAAGGGACCTTGAAATAGGCCTACAATCATCATATTTTTAGTTCGCACATAATCGTGCATATAAATATCAGAAATCTTTAAATGAAACTTTTGTTCTATATCTGGAGATGCTGCCATTACATAAGTTCCATTTGGTAAATATTTATATTTTTTTAAGTATTCATTACGTTGTTGAATAATATCTGCTATTGCCATCATTAAGCCACAGCTCACAGTATTTGTGACTAGAAGATATTTACCTATAATTTTTATATCTTTATTTAAATTATTTAATTATCAATTCAATTTAAATTTAATTTAATTATTAGCATCAATTTTAAAAAATTTTGAGTTAATTTTAATATACCAAATATTTATAACGCTTACCAAATAATTTTCTCCAAACAGTCATTGAGTTTAAAATCTATTAAGTAATTATTTCTTATTACTAATTTATAATTTTTCAAATATATGTTTTTTATCTTAAGAATGTTTTTCTTTCTGTTTTATTTAAAATAATTTTGCTAAATTTTTACTCGTTTTTTGTGAAGATAAAATTGTGATTTGAACATGATATGATAATATACCGTTTGAATTAATTAAAGAGCAAGTATATTTTATATAGATATTAAAAACAGATATAAGTTATCACTTTGCAATATAAATCTACGCGTTACTGAATAGAAATTTGCGAAACTGTAGTTTTTATAAGACAGAATGTAATCGAAAGTTGTGCCGCGTTTGCGCAGTAAGTAACGCCCCCACCATTCACTTTTTACTTATTTAAACATTTTTTTGCGATTTTTGTTTGCTAAAAATATAAATAATATAAATGATGTTACTTAATCACAATGAGATTTGCTAATTCATAATCAGATTCTCATAAAAATATTACTTTTAATAGTATTTTACTTTAAAAAAAAACTTAATTTAAAACATATAATAGGCATTCAGACTTTTTAAGTTATTTATTAAATGTCAAATTTTTATAGATATTTTTATAGATACAATAATAAAAATTAAAATTATTTAGTTTGAACTGATTTAGGTTTTGGCAAACCTTCCCTAAATCCATTTCTGAAAAAAATAATATAAAAAATGATAATAAAAAAAATTTTGATTGTTTATTTGAAAATCAATATTTAATTTTTCTGTTATTTATTATAGATTTATATTTAAACTTACTTGAATTTACGACGTACAATTTTTAAATAACGCATACGACCAGTTCCAGTAGTCTTTCTTCTCTTAGCTTTTACTGACCAATTATCTAAAATTGATATAATATGATTAATTATTTATTTAAAAATTTATGATTAATATTTTTAGAATTATATTTTACATTAAATATATATTGAGCTCAAAAATAAAAGTCAATTCTTTATTTTACTCTTTTATCTGTGAAAAATAATTTTAAAAAATAGTTTTGGAAAATATAGTTTCAAAAATCTTACACGATCGCATTTTCTTCTGAGGATATCCACATTGAGCACATTGTGATTTTTGAATATGGTATGAACTGCGACCACATCGTCTACACAAAGTATGTGTTTTATTTCGTCGCTTACCAAAACTCGATGTACCCTTCGTCTGTAAATATTAATTTAATTTAAAATTATAAAATTTTTAATTATAATATTAGCTATTATTAAAATATTATCTTAAAATTTGAAATTCTAATTTTATAAACATTCAAAAAAGAATATAAATAATATATTAAATTATTATATTAGAAACTTACATATAATTATAATTTTGATAATTTTATTAAAAATATTGATTTTAATAAATAAGCAATTTTTAAGTCGAAATATGATTATAAAATTATTATTTAATCTCAGAAATGTTATATAACCTCAATTGTCATTTCATATTAATAATACATTTATTTCAAGTATTTATAGCAAAACTATAATTTTAAATTATTTTTACACATAATAAAAAAAAGTTTTAAGTATTTTTCAAATAAATAACTTTTATGATTGCTTTATAATATTTAGATTTTAAAATATTAAAATACGCTTACCATTTTGCACGAAGAAACAACTTAAAAGAGATGGTTAGTTGTTCCAAAACCTTATGTTCCTTCGTCTATACTAATGAAAATAGAGGTTCTCATTTCAAACATAATAATTATTAATAATATAAAAATTATTTTTTCTTTTATATAATTATATTATAAAAATGCGTATATTTATATTATTTTATTTTTATTTCGAAATAGCATAATTTTAATTATAACTTTTGCAAACTCTTATAAAAACAAATTAATTTATACTAAAGTGAACAATATATTTAATAACATATTTAATATTTATAAATAATTAAATTACTATTAGATCATTTGAATCAGTAAGCACTTCATGAGAATATTGACTACCAGATGTTACAACATGCATAGGACCAATTATACAATCTTTCAATTCTGTGCCCTCTTCAATAAAACAACCTTTACACAATATGCAATTATGTATTATGCATCTGTAAAAGAATATTTATAAATAGCATATAATTATTATAAATTAATTATAAATTAATTTATAATTAAAAGTATAAATAGAATTAAATTATTTAAATAATACCGTTGCCTAACTGTTACAGCTTCCATTAAAATACTTTGAGATATTCTAGTTTTTGATTCAATAGTTACGTTTTGTCCAATATGAGTATTTTTAATAGATGTTTTATCATCAATAAATGAATTATTATGTACACGACAATCTTGTATTTGTGAACTGCGTATTATTGCTGTAGTTGCAATATTTGGTAATGATTGTCCATCATTATCCTCATTCCACCATTCTGATATCTATAATATTAATTTTAATAATTAATGAAATATTTAAATTATATATTTATATATAAAATAAATTGTTATTAATTTTACCTTAGTATTAGCAAGATGATACATTTGTATAGTATTTGTTCTCAAACCAAATTTTCCATTACCAATATAAGCATAACATCGTATTATATCTCCATGATATGCATCTTCTAAATCAGTATTATGATCATTGAATGCTGACATTTTTCTAATTAATTCATCAAGTGGTTTTTCAATTGCAAAACGATAAACATCTTCCTTTAAATTCATATGTACTATAGAAGTATTTTTATCATCTAGACATTGTTTGGGAGGTTTCGAAAATTGTTTGCTAACGATATATGGAAGAAGTTCTCCTTTTAATGTAGTAAAATTTCTAAAAAAAAAAAAAAAAAAAAAAAAGAATAATTCATTATGAAAATTAAAAAATTGTATTATTAAAATCTTTTCTAATTCTATTTAATTCTACTAACTTATTATGTACAAGAAAATCTAAAACCCATTTATTAATAACATATAAATGGGAATCCATTAATTTTGAATGCATAGTAAAACTTGGATGCTTTTTGAGTAATGTCTGTGTAATTTTTATTGTTTCTTCGAAGTCTGATGCAGATGCTAAGAAAATTAAACGGCCAGTTTCATTACAAATACCAATTAAATCAGTTTCAGGCTTTTGTTTGTTTTTTGGACCTGGAGTTATAAAATCATCTGGTACTTTAGGAACAGGCAACATTAATGCTGTAATACTAGCATTATGTTTTCTATAAAGATTTAAAATTTCACATATATCAATATTAGTGATTAAATCACAAGAAATCACTATAAAATCTGTATGAATTTTTTCATGAATAAGTCTAATAGAATCTGCTGTTCCCATATCTTCTGCATTTTTGACAACAACAATATCTGTCTTAATTTTAAGATTTAAATCACATAATGTTAATGAGATATTGTGCTCCATATTTTCAGATATAATAACAATAGCTTCTTTAAAACCAGCCCGTTCTAATAATTGAAGAGGATACCAAATCATTGGTATATTTCCAATTGGTAATAAACATTTATATTGACCTCGAGTAAGTTCAGTCATACGAGATCCTCCTCCTGCAGCAAGCACAATTGCTTGAAATTCTTTATAAGGGAACATTCTTCACCTATTATAAAACACATGTAATAATAATTATGAAATAATAATAATTAAGTATGAAAAGAAAAATTATTTATACATCAAAATTAAATAATGTTTATTTTAATAGTTTTTTTATAAACATAATAAAAAAATATAATAAAGAAAAAAAAGAATAAAATTTTTATTATTTTCTTCTTAGCATTACATTAATAACCTCTAGTAACAGATGATACGCGTGTGCCTTCAATATCGTGTTGATTAACACTCATGCGTTTAGGTTAGATTAAGTCGTATCTCAAATTCATTTGTAACTGTATTATAAAATAGAAATTGTAAAATTTCATCAAAGTAAAATATTATAAACGTATTATAGAAAATTTAAACAAATTTAATTTGAGAATACTCGAAATTATATTGTTTTTTAAATAAGAAGAATTATCAAATTCATAAAAGAGAAAATTAATAAATATGTGTGAAAACGAAGATAATATAATTACAATAGGAAAATATGTAATAGTAAAAAAATTAAATTTCAAAAAAATTTATAAAGTAACTATTGATGGTACTTTAATATTGGGAAAAGATTTAGTAGAAATGCATGAAATTATTGGAAAACGTTTTTGGACTACTTTTGAAATGATACCAATGAAAGACAAGAAACGAACATATTTTTTAAAAGAAGTATTAGAAACAGAATCATTAAATGATTTATTAAATGAACTACCAAGTGGTACTGATAATCGTTCTATAGTTGATGATGGTAAGTCACAAAAACTTTCTAAAGAAGAAATATTTCAACTTCAAGAATCTGGTAAGAGTAGTAAAGAAATAGTAAGCAGCCTGATTGAGAATAATAAGTCTTTCTTAGATAAAACAGAATATTCTCAGGAAAAATATTTGAAAAAAAAAGAAAAGAAATATTTTAGATATATAACAATATGGAAACCAAATATAAGTTCATTGCATGATATATATTTTAAGCTAGATCATAATAAAATTGGAAATTTAAGAATGGATTCTTTATCGCAATTATTGTCATACAGTGATGTTCAATCAGATGGATTATATATATTATATGATAGTGGATCACATGGCTTGCCAGCTGCTGCAATGTTAAATAGAATAGGTTCAAATACAAAAGGATATTTGATCAATTTGCATCCTGGAAATGTTCCTCAAACTGCTCTTGTTCATGCCATGAATTTTTCTACGGAACAATCAACGAGATTAATTAATGTTAATATTTACAGTTTTTTAAGACTATATTATCAAGGTGAAAATGCTGTTTTAAATAACATTTCAAAAAAATGTAATTTAAAACATAATGATTTGTCAAATAAAATAAAAAAAGATGAAAGTAAAAATAATAATGAAAATCACATAAATAATAAAATTTCGCGAATAAAAGAAGAAAATATTAAAGAGCGAAATTCGGATAATATTAATGAATCAAATGAAACAGTCAATCATAGTATAGATAATAATTTAAAACGCAAATTAAATGAATGTAATGAATGTAAATTTGCAGAAGTAACACCTGCAAAAAAACCAAAGTGGTTATTGGAAACGCAACGTGCAGTAGATCTTGTTACAAATTCTAAAGCTCGGGGATTAGCTATTGTTGCTAAAGAACATCCTTTAAATATCATTATTGCTCTTCTACCATTTTTAGGAGCATCTAGACCATTTGTAATTTATCATATGTATCGAGAATCATTACAAGAGACTTATATGATGTTAAAACAAAAACAAAATGTTATTAATCTGAGACTTTTTTCCAATTTCTTACGTTCGTATCAAGTATTACCTGATCGAACACATCCTGATATTTTAAGTAGTGATACAGGAGGTTATTTATTAACAGGTTATTTAGTTCAATAAAAAATAATATTGAATATAAAATTTTATATATTTAAAAATCGAATTCATCTTAATAAAATTTATGCGATAAATATAACGATATACTTTTTATAAATGTTTTAGATTTAAATTAATTTTTGGAAAAATAAAGAAATATTATTTAATATTTTATGTGTGATTTATAATTATAACACATTCAATATTTTCTTTAATTTTATTAAAAATTTATTTTTATATTTAAAATTTTTTATAATAATAATAAGTATAATTCTTATATCTATTACTTAGTTAATAGATTTGAACAGCTTTCCCTTGTTAAGAAAGTTAGGTTTTTCTATATTGACTAGTTCTGCCGATTTTTTTTATAAATTTCATTCAAATTTTACTATAAAAGGAAATCACAAATTTTAAAAGAAATGGTTAAATAATATATTTTATTAAAAATTTAAAAATAAGTATTTGAAAAAATGACGGAATATCAAATTTTATATATATAAAAATAGTATTCGAAAGGTTAAGAATGTGAATAAAAACGCATTTACCAAATATGGATTCTGTGACACTTTTGCCATTAAAATCTTCATCGAAAAGTTTATTTATGATGATAAGAAAAAAATTTCACATAAAATTAAATATTCCAATTTTGTTAATGATATTGTTGATTGTTTTCTTATGTGTACATTATTTACCTTCTACAAAGTGTTCTTCTAATGAACAAGAAATAAAAAACAAAATAAAAATTAGATTTATAATACTTATACTTTCTAGTCCTGATAACTTAGAACGAAGAGCAACTATTAGAAAGACATGGTTGGCACAAAAACAAGCTTCAGTCAAACATTTTTTTGTAATAGGAACTTTAGATACATTACCAGAGCAAAAAGAAACTTTACATTCTGAAAAACAAAAATTTAATGATTTACTTTTATTATCAAGATTACCAGATTCATATGGAACTTTAACAAAGAAAGTTTTATATGCATTCAAAGAAATTTATGAATATTATGAATTTGATTTTTTAATGAAATGTGATGATGATACATTTGTTTTGGTACATAAAATTTTAAGAGAACTAGATAAATGGGATAACAAAGGAACAAAAAAAGAATTATATTGGGGTTTTTTTAATGGAAAAGCACAAGTCAAAAGAAGTGGACCATGGAAAGAGATAGATTGGATATTATGTGATTATTATCTTCCTTATGCACTTGGAGGAGGATATGTTTTATCTTATAATTTGGTAAAATTTATTGCAACAAATGCAGATATTTTCAAGTAAGATTTTGAAAATATAAAATTGAATTGTTTTCAATATTATATAATGTGAAAATATAAAATTGAATTGTTATTAAAATATTATATAATGTTTTCTATTATTGAATATATTTTTAGATTATACAAAGCAGAAGATGTATCTGTTGGGGTTTGGATAGCACCTTTGGCAAATATTGAAAGAAAACATGATGTACGATTTGATACAGAATATAGATCACGTGGATGTTCTAATCAATATATAGTTATGCATAAACAAACTATTGAAAACATGAAAAATATGTATGAATATTATCAAGCATCTGGAGCATTGTGTATAAAAGAAATAAGAAATCGTATGAGTTATCAATATAATTGGACAGTTCCACCCAGTCAATGTTGCAATTTACAATCTGGCATTCCATAATAATTAAAATTCTCTTTTTCTTTTTTTTTATATACATTTGATCTTCTAGTCATTATTTCATTTTATATATTTACAATTACCAACTAAATATGTTGGTAAGTACTTATAAATATTTTATTTATAATAACTATGATTATAGTAATGTAATCTAAATAATAGTATGCTTTATAGTTTTTATAGTTAAAGAATGAATAATAATAAATACATGAAATACTTTGAATATTACATTATTATATTAAAATATGTTATTTCATTAATACTTATCTTTTATAATATATAAATTAAATATATTTATAATTATTTTTTATATATATGTTTGAAATAAAAATTAAAAATCTTATTTTTGTAAATTAAATATATTTTTCTCATTATATATGTATAGTATATATACATACATGTGTATATATGATATATATACATAGAAAAAAATTTATATATATCATTTACATTTATAAAATATAAAAACAGTAATATTTTTTTTATTTTAATACAATAATTATGTAGAATAAGATATTATATTTCAATTGAGCAAATCACAGATATTCAAAAATGACCAATTTATAATAAATTACTACTTTTATATCTAAAAGAAATAATAGAAAGACAATAATAGTCATGGTCGATTTTCTCCTCTGTGATAAGCTATTAAATTACTGCATTTTCATTACATCTTATATTGCTGACATAAATATTATTAAATGTAATATTTAATTATTTTTAATAAAAACTATATAATAAGAAATGTTAATTATTTTAAAATAAAATACTTAATTTTTTTTTCCTTTTCAAAAAGAAGTAGGTATTTTAAGAATAATTTTTCCTAGCAATATTAGTTGTAATGTAAATCCAATTTTTTAATGTACTTTTTTTATATACATATATATATATTATATGAATAATATACAATCAGTCGCAATGATATTCATACATCTTGTGAAATTTAATTTACTAATAAATTATATCATCAAAATCAATAATAATAATGTTTTATATGAAATATTGTATATATATAGATAATGGATTATATATGGAGCAATTTTTTTATTAATAGAATATTATTTTGAGGAAATAAAATGAATCCTTAAAGTTTCAATATTATTTGTTTTTTAAATATAACTTTATAATATGAGATTATGGAATATTAAACTATAAAATATTTAAGTTTTGCTTTATTAAAGATTTTCAATTGAAATTGTGCATATAAAACAAGTAAAAATAATAAAAATTTGAAGATTGTTTTCATACATTCAAGAAAATTTTCTGAAAAATTACTCTACATATAATCTATTATGCTCTATATACATAAAAATTTTTATTAAAATCAGATTTTTCAAAATACTAAAAACTAAATTTCTTATTGAATATTTTTGTGACTGACTATATAATTTTTTTTTTTTTTTTACAAATTTCCTATTTGTTTATCTTTATACAAATCAATTCATTTTCATGTTAAACCATGAAAAATATTGTATTTATAATTTTAGAAATAATCCATGATTTTTTTTTTATTTTAAAATAAATTAATATTATTTCATTTCATAGAACTTACTTCTTTTTTCTATCTTGTGTACATTTTGGACAATACCATTTTCCTTTAGGTTTTGTAGTTAACCCAACACATGCAAAATGGAACCACTCTATAGGACACTATATTAACAGAGAATATTAAAAATTACAGATATTTAAACGAATTTAGAATAAATAATATTCACTTACATCTGGATTATCACAACCTATCATTTCCCCATAAGAAACTTGATGACATAAGCAATAAGTTGGTTCATTAGGATCAACTGGCATATCTAAAACATCTGCTGGATGACCAAGTGCAGTAGAATCTACTTGAGCACCACTTCCTACAGCTCCAGCTGATGAAGCAGAAGCAACAGATCCTCCTAAAAATATATATTTAATATAAATAATTTCTTTTAAAAACAAATGAATTAAAAAACATAATAATAATTAATTTCACCTTTTTTCTGTTTTTTTCTAGCTGTTTTTGATTCGTCTTCACTATTAGTACCTGCAGCACCTTTCTTTCGTTTTTCTTTTTCTTTCAATTTTTTCCTACCCTTTTTACTAGCATTATTCTCTTCTTGTGCTCTACTACTATTTAAAGCTTTATCTTGTATTTCAGCTTCAAATCTAGCCAAATCAGAATCTAATCTCCTAATATGTTTATCAACTAATTCATATGTTTGTATTGCTAATTGTACTTTATCATCACCATATTCCTTTGCCTTATTAAACAAGTTTTGAATATGAGTCAATTGTTCCTTTTTTTTTTCTGGAGATTCCTTCTTTACATTTTTTAAATAATCATCTGCTAATTTATCTATATCTTTCATTAATCCTTGTGCTCTAGCATCAAGGTCTCGCATTAAAGTGAAATTTCTTTGTAATTCAATAGGTAGATGTTCCAAACCTGGTAAAATGAAATTAGATTAGCAGAAAATATTTTATAAATAGAATTAGAATTAGAATGGTATTACCGAATGTTGAATCTTTCATTATTATTGTATTTATTAAATAATATAATTTGAATTAATTCTACATTTAATATAAATATAAAAAAATATAGTTTCCTTTATATTTTTTAACAAGAAAAATTGAATACTTACTGTCCAAATAATGTTCTAGATACAGTGCTGTTGTCATGTTTATTGTCACTTAAAGAAAAATGTAAGATTTTATATTTTACAATAATTTTTGTTAATATTACAATAATTTTTTGCATAAAGATTTAAAAATATATATAATATATATTATAATAAATATATATTATAAATATTATTAAAAAAATATGTTAATCTTCTTGAAAAGAAACGATCAATGATTATAAGATGCAAAGCAATATATACTACTGACATGGTTACCAACTATACATTATTATTGTTTTAATTTCCGTGTGGGAAATTGTAATTTGTCTAATATTCAATAATTTCATAGAAATTATATAAATAACTAGAAGTATACCTTATAACTAATATTAAAATGTGATTTTATATAATAGTAAAAAATATTCTTAAATCTTTTTTATTATAATTCTATTATAATATTATATTTCATAAATCATACATAATTTAAAATTATTGTAATATATTTTTATATAATGTATTATTTATTAATTATGATATTATTTATTATGTGATATAATTATTTATTATATTCATATAATGTAAAATAAATATATGAAATTTATAACGAAATGTACGATCGATCGAAAATCATATTATAAATAAGGAACATGGCGGTTTCTTTTTTACTAATATCAAAGTAGGTGTAGTCGTAAATGAAATTAGAGGTAATCATTAAATTTTTCTTGAATGAACAAAAATTTAATAATAAATATAATCTGATGTGTTTTGTTCAATAAAACAAATTTAAATAAGAATATATATTATTTGTGGTAAGTTTAATGTATATTAGTGTCGTATAATAAAATATTTTCACTTTAGTAGCGGTGTATCTGAAAAATTAATGCAATAAATCCTTTTTTGCAAAATATTAGACATTTAACACAATTATAAAGATAAATCATTCTGCAGCTCAGAAAATGGTAAAGTTATATGCGTTGTCAGTTTTATACAAAAATCCTACGTCAGCGACAACATTGAAAGCTGCTTATGACGTAGATAGATTTTCGTTTTTTCAAAGAGGAAGTGTAAAGGAATTTATGACATTTATAAGTAAAACTATTGTGGAAAGAACTCAGAATTGCTCTAGACAGAGTGTAAAAGAAGGAGGTATTTGTGAAAACATCAAATCTTATATGGAATGTTTAAAATTTTTTGATTGTATTGTTTTGCAGATTATATGTGCCATGTATTTGTACGAGCAGATAATCTTGCTGCAGTACTTATATCAGATCATGAATATCCTAGAAGAGTAGCTCATACATTAATTACAAAAGTTATGGATGAATTTGCATCCAAATATCCACAATCTACATGGGATACATTAAATGAAGTTATGACTGATTTTGCGCAGATTAATGTATATTTAGCCAAATATCAAAATCCTAATGAAGCTGATGCTCTCACTAAAATGCAAAATGATTTAGATGAGACAAAAATCATTTTAGTAAGTATAAATCTTAGTTAATAGTAAAGATATATTTTTTAAATTAATTTAATTAAAATCTATTAAATTTAATTTATTTTTTATACATTTAGCATAATACATTAGAAGCTGTTCTTAAAAGAGGTGAGAATTTGGATGATTTGGTTTCTAAATCACAAGGGCTTAGTGCTCAATCAAAAGCATTTTATAAAACTGCACGTAAAACTAATTCTTGTTGCAGTTTAGCCCCTTAAAATTTTTGTTGTTAAATATATTGATATGTTTCAGTGAATATTATTGTAATTTTGTAATTTTAACTCAAAGTGCAAATGAATTAGTATCATAAAAATTTTATTAAAAGGAATAATTTCTAAATTATATATGTAATTAGCATCATGTGGCAAAATTCAATATTTTGTGTATAAATTTATTGTATATAAGATATATGTATTAATGCACTTAAATGGTATACCAGGTTACTGCCAGACTATTTCAATTCACTTCAAATTCAATACTTTTTATTGATTCATAATTATTTTTTTTTTCTTCATAAAAACTTGGTTGTAAAAAATTGTGGTATAGTTTATAGTTAATAGTTTGTGCATAGAAATATTTTGTTTTTTTTTTATTTATATATTGACAAAATTCAAAAGAATATTTTAAAATAAAATTAGTACTTCATTATTAAAAAATAAGTATATAATATAAATATTATTGTTACGTTTATTTAAATGAAGTGATAATGAATTTTATAATGAATTTCTTTATTATTAAAAAATGAAGAAAGATAGTTTTGTAAACAATTATATTAATTTTTATTTACAACATAATATACTATAATAGTGAATGAAGAATATTTTTGCTATAAGAATTTGTTTTTTTCTTATTCCTTGATGTCTTTTATATTTTTTTTTAATAAATACTAAGTAAATTTCATAAAATTAAATTGTTTAATATGATTAATATAAATTAAAAAATTGAAATTAAATTATAATATTGAATATAATTCTATAATTCATTGCTAAAGCATATAAAAATGAAATTGACATATTTTTAAATTAGTTCATAATTTTTATAAATTAATCTATCTGTATGTATATAAATTGTATTAGTTTTAAAGATAAAAATTCTAATTTATAATAATTTTAGTTAAATATATATTTATATGCGCACATATATGCATGGACAATTATACATATATATATATATATATATATATATTTATTTATTTATGTAATTTTGAAAATATATTTATATTTTTAATATGTTTGTTTTCTGATATAAAAATAAAATGATATTAAATATAGGCCTTCATATAACATAATATTTTTGCAATATTATTTTGTTACAATCAAATACAATCAAATACAATCTAATACAATATAATACAATCAAAAAATTGAAAAACTTTATATAATATATTTCCATCTAATATAATTAAATCTTTTTCAATATATACAATAAATAGATCATATATATAAACTATAATAATTCTAATAAATATGATTATTAAAACAAAATGATAATTTCATTAATTTAAAATCTGTTCTTATTTTTTTTTCTAAATTAGTAATTCTTAATCTTATATAATATAATATTTTTTAAAAACATTAGAATTGCTTATATTTTATTATGTTATTCAAATAGTCATGAAAAGAAACTGCAAACAGAATTTATATCTAATTTATATACTATAATATTAATTTTCTTTATTATATTAATTTTGACATCTATAAAGATCTATATTACAAATAATTTTTAATATTTTAAATTATAATTTAAATAAATTGCAATTTATAAAATCACGACATGTTCGGCGATAAATAGAAAAAATTGTAAATTTTTCTTTTGTAATCCATGGAATTTTATCATAATATGGATTAAATCCAGGTTCATATTTCTCTGAATTGACCTGAAATATTATATAAAATTTTTATTATCTATACAAAAATTAATAATTTAATAAATTAGTTAATTATATACAAGATAGCATATTGATAGATATATACTTACTGAATTAAGTATTTTCTCTTGAATTTCTTTTTCATCATTTATAAGATACATATCAGTAGCAACAATAGGTTCTGTCTTCCGATTCATATAATCGAATATGTATTTCTTATATTGATACATCTCCAAAAAATTAATTAATTGATCAGTATCAACAAATACCCAATCTTTAAGTTTTTCTTTATATTGATCTTCTTCAAAATCTAAAGTTTCAATGTCTTGAATTATATCTATATTATTGCCTTCTTTTGACCAATCATAGATCAATATATGCGAGTGTGATGATAGCCAAGACAAACATTTTTCTTTAGTTGAATTTTCTAAATCCGTTAAATATTTTGTTGTGAAAACTTTGGAATTAATTTCATCCACATTACCTCGTTTTTTTATTTTTTCCTATGTATAATACATTCAATTAATATATTTGTAGTTAAATAGTTAATCTAAATTAACAATTTTTTTGAAAATAAAAAATAAACTTACTAGAATGATTTCTGGAGATGCATCCAAATATATAACTAAGTGTGGTCTTAAAAGAAATTTGAATGAGTTTTTTCTCATCATTTCAAATTCTTTCACAGTTAAATCACTAAGATATCCAGCTTTATGCATAGCATTCATAAAAGCATATTCTGTAAAAATGGATCGATTGAGTACTACACCTTGTCCAGTTGCTAATATATGAACAAGTGCATTCAAATATTGTTCAAATCTCATATTAAAAAATCCTAATTGGATGGTTGCTGTTCTATAATGATAAGGATTTTTTAGGAAATCTTTTAAATCATAAAAACGACATGATTCTGGTAATTGAGGATTTAGATCACGAATATCAAATCCATAATGATTTATAAATATTTCATCATGTGTTGGTGCTGGCATATATAAAAATCCAAAATCTTTTGCTATTTGTTCGCAAAGTTTAGTTTTTCCTACTGCAGGAGGTCCATCTACAATTATTAATTTGGTATTATCATCATATCTAAGAGTTGTTGGATCCAATATCATATTGATTTCATTGCATATCTTTTTCCAATAAGGATATGGAGCTGGTTTAGGTATATCTTCTTTAAACGCAATTCTTTTTATAAATGCCACTTGTATTACATTGTAATTCTTTGATATCTATAATATATAAATTTAATAATAAAAGATATTTAAATTAAAAAATATTCTTTAAGAAATTATTTTATTTTATTTATTTATTATATTTATTACGATTCATAAATATTCGATAAATATATAAATAATTTTAATAATATCTAATTATTTCTAAATATTATTTTATTTTTAATAAAAAGTATTGTTAAATATTATTTTTATTGTTTTTCTAATAATATAATTATTAAAAGTACTAACCTTACATAATCGAGTTAAGTATCCGATAGAACTGTTTTTTACAATTCTAACAGAAAATATCGATGTCATTTTATTGAAATCAATATTATTTCAGTAAAAGATATTCATATATAATTAATTATATGCAACAAAATTAATATTCTTTTTATTATTAATTTTTTATCTCAAACACAACAATACAATTCAACATTATTGAGATATTCTGACTGTTCAGTGGTACTCATTTGAATATATTCTGTATTATTATTTTTAAATTGTAGATATAGATTTATTTCTAATATTGATCTACAAATTTTTATAAATATAATCATAGAAATGCAATTAAAATATAAAAAAATTTTTTCCATTTTTTAAGTTTCTATTATAATATATATTTTGTTTCGCCATATTCTATATGATTTATATTTAGTAGATTTTTGGACATTTAAATATATAGACATTTGTAATGTATATATATATTATAATATATATTATATATATTATATATTATAATAATAATAATTATAAAATTAGTTTTAAATAAAATTATATTTTAAAATAATTACAATATTTAAAAAAAATTTTGTATTACAATTCAATAATTAAAAATAATTGATATCAATATAATGAAATACAATTTTAATGATCACATGAATTTACAATATTTTATATTGATATTGAAAATAAGAAAAAAAATAATTTTTTATTTTTAGAAAATAAAAAATAACAAAAAAAGTTAAAAGTTATATAAATATATATAATCGAATACAAAAATTTTGAATTTACCTCTTATAATAATTTCTTTAATTTTCCGCCGAATGGAGCTAGTATCACAGTTATATGATTACGTTCGCAAACAAATAGAATTATTTGCAATGAAATTGAAATATTGAATTGTTTTAATCACTAATTAATTAAGTACAATAAACGCGAAAAATATTCTTATTCTCGAGTGATAAATACTAGAATAAATCCTATTTTTTTAATGAATAAAGAAAAGAAAAAATCGTTCAATACAAAATAACATTTTAAGTAATAAAAGATGTGAATTCAATAAAAAATATAAACAAAATTTGTATGGCGGAGGAGAGAGTTAAAACAACGAAGAAAGAGAGAAGTTTTGTAACTTCGGACCACCATTCGGTCGAACAAAGTGGCAGACGCTTGCGTCTCATGATAAGGAAAGGACCTCCGAGTGTACCGTGCTGCGTCATCGTAGAATGGGTGAGTACCACGATATGCAACTGACGAACTTGCTTATATAAATAATAATCTATTTGAAGCATACAAGGCGTGTCTTTCAAAGAAATAAAACGATTTATTCTAACTTTTATTTTTCATTCTTCTATTTTTCATAATCCTTTATTCCAA